ATATATATATATATATATATATATATATATATATATATATAGACATATATATACACACATGTATATGCATGTGAATATATGTATATAATATATATATATATATATATATATATATATATATATATATATATATATATATATGACATATAGACATATATATACACACATATGTATATGCATGTGAATATATATATATATATATATATATATATATATATATATATATATATATATATATATATATTCATATATATAGACACAACTCTGCTGCCTTCTACTTTCCTGTTTTCCCAATCCCTCGCCCGCGCAAAGCTCCCTGGCGGCACGCGGTGAGGGCGGCGCTGCCTGGGCGTTTGGAGCCTGTCAACACGTAATTCAAGACCTCGATGAAAGTACACAAATTAGGGTTATAGAGGGAGGGAGGCGGAGGGACTGGGGTGAGGAGAGGGGGGGGAGTTGAGAGAGAGAGAGAGAGAGAGAGAGAGAGAGAGAGAGAGAGAGAGAGAGAGAGAGAGAGAGAGAGAGAGAGGAGAGGGAGAGGGAGAGGGAGAGGGAGAGGGAGAGGGAGAGGGAGGGGGGAGAGAGAGGGAGGGGGAGAGAAGGAGGGAGAGAGAGAGGGAAGAGAGAGAGAGAGAGGGAGAGAGGGAGAGAGGGAGAGAGGGAGAGAGAGAGAGAGAGAGAGAGAGAGAGAGAGAGAGAGAGAGAGAGAGAGAGAAGAGAGAGAGAGAGAGAGAGAGAGAGAGAGAGAGAGAGAGAGAGAGAGAGGAAACTCGCACGCACCCATGTACACATGCACACCCGTTCTCAGTGATCTTTATATTAAACGTTCCGGATATTTACCCATATGTTCCTGTTTGTACCATCCAATATACCAAGCATTATTTCTAGGGCAGTTAATGATATGTATATGCAGCAATACATAGAATCTGTTCATAGGCTAGACCATACTGAACAATACACTAATGTTCTTCAAAACTTAAAAGATGATGGAAATATTGTAATAACAAGGCCAGCCTAAGGAAAAGGCATAGTTATCTTTAACAACACTGATTACTTTAAAAGAATATCTAGCATCCTTTCAGACTCCTCGGCTTGATTCTAACTTCTAAAGGATGACCTGCACCAACCTCCCTAAACTTGAGGATCAATCAAACTGGATTTTATGTCCTTTAAAAGAAGCCATACATAATTCCTTTTCTATATGGACTCCGAAAAGTTCACAAAATAGGGACACCTCTGAGACCTATTGCGTCCTCTATTAATACATTGAACAATAACCTTGTTGATTTCCTCGTTTAAATCATCCAACCCGCTAATGAGTTTACTACTATTAACACTCTAGATTTCGTGAAAAAAAAAATCAAACTTAATATTGTAGATCCCACAATTTGGTCTAAACAAGAAACAGTTTAATTCTTTTTAAATGTGGCCACGAGATTCTGTTTTGTTTTGATAAAAATTATATCCTCAAATAGATGGTGTGGCTATGGGTTGCCCACTTGGCCGAAGCTATTCAAACGCGTCCCGAAGTCATCATGAATGTAAATGGTTAAATAATTTTCCAAATGATTTTAAACTAATATACTACAAAAGATATATAATTGACACATTTCTCTTGTTCAAACAACAGTCACAAATTGAACAATTCCTGTCACATCTGAATGAACAACACCTAAACATTAAGTTTACTTGTAAAATAAAAAAGGGAACCGAACTTCCTTTTCTTGACGTATTGATATCCATAGAAAAATGAAGCCTTTCCACTACGGTTTACTGAAAACCTACTTTCACTGGGAATGAACTATTTAAGTTTCTCGCCCATGAAATATAACGTGAACAGCATCACCACTCTCATCAAATAGAGACCAAGTACATAAAGGCCCCGTACCTCGGACATGTAAGCTTCACATTCCGTAAACGTGAGAGACTGAAGCATTCGTTCCCAACAGATTCAATTCAACATGGTTATTGTTAACTTCTATGATATCAACTCTTTCTTTAAAGAGAAGAGGCCCCTGCCCTCAAAACCATGTTCAAATATCGTATATATTTTAACTGTCCTAGAAGTAATGCTTGGTATATTGGATTGTTACGATGGTTCAAATATAGAATACTTGGACATATGGGGAAATCAATAAGAACCAGCCTACCTCTGAGCAGACCATCTTTCTCCGCTGTCCGCCATCATTCACAAACAGACCATCCTTTCACTCACAGTTTCTAAAATTCTGTCTTCCACATCTTACAGATTCGACCTCATCCTAGAATCCCTATACACCCACAAGTTGAAACCCGAGCTGAATACCAACTCAGCCATCCAGTTGTTTAATCAATCGCCATAACGGCCATTCCACACTTGTTTGGTATGTCTCGCCTTCACACATTGTTTCACATTGTTTCTGCCGTTTTATTTTTGTTTAATCTCATAACCATTTTATTGTTGCTCCTTTTATGAACCATATTTTTGTTTGTTTCTTGTATCTAAGTATATGAAGTATATATATTTAATATTTTCTAGTACTGATGATGATTTAAGAAAGTCTTTACATTAAAGACGTTCAACGCAGCGTGGTTCTTCTTTTCTTCTAATACGATTCCGAAAATCGAAACACACATACATACATACATACATACATATATATATATATATATATATATATATATATATATATATATATGTATATATATATATGTATATATGTATATATATATGTATGTATATATAATAATATATATATATATACACATACATATACACACACATAAGTGTGTGTGTATATATATATATATATATATATATATATATATATATATATATATATATATGTATGTATGTATGTATGTATGTATGTATGTATGTGTATGAGTGTGTGTGTGCATGTGTGTTTATTTGTATACATACACACACACACACACACATATATACATACACATATACTCACGCACACACACGAGTGGCCAGGGATTCGCACCTTAAGGCCCGTACTTTTAAAACCTTGGTGTGGGTATGTATACTTGGATAAGTAAGCAGTAGCTGGCACGAGGCGAGAGCCTGCACGGGCATGATGCTGTCTTGAAGTTCCCTGTCCTGGCATCTAACGCAGGTTAGAAAGACCCAGAGGTCTTCGTTCACCTGACCTTTGCCTTATTTCCGTAACCAATTTTATCAAAATCCCTTTAACAGTTCTGTGCAATGTCAGTCTGCCTAGTTTACGACGTGACTTTCACAAGGGCATGGGCACGCGAATGCCTTTGGACCGTATCAGCTGCCAGCATGAAATCCCGGGGTTTGGACAGGAAGTTCGTCCGAAACGACTTGATTTCATCACAGTCTTTGATATGTCAGTCTGCACATCCTACAACATTTGCCGCTGCGCGTCGCCTGCACTGCTGACGGAAATGAAGACCTTACCAGTAGAGTTGTATTCTAATTCCAGGGCGATTCCAAAGCTGTTGTGTCTCAAGGAACCTCTTTTGCGTTTCTTCGGGTTTTCTGCCATAAATGATTTACAATGTAAGATCTGTGTTCATTGTTTCGATTTCGCAGCCTTATGGAATGACGTAATCACATGACGTAATAAGTTAAAAAAAAAAAAACAAGCATAAACATTTGGAATATCAAGGTTTATAAATTATGATCTCTGCTTGTCAAACTTGGTATAATGAAGTACAGTACACACACACACACACACACACACAAATCTATTAAGTGTGTGTGTGCGTTTGTGTGTGTATTGGAACGCTTTTTGCGATACGGCCAACTGCAAAAGATCTACAATCGACATTTTTTCCATTCTCAAGATGTCGTTACTATCATCATTACTGGCTGATGGTATATCTAATAATGATAAACCGAATGCACCAAATGGGATTATTTTCTGCCTTTGTCATCTATCTTTGTCTACTTGTACATATTTGTTACGTATTTTTCTATTGCCATCCGCCCTTACCTTTATTCTCCTTTGCGCCTCCTTTGATCCACTTCCCCTTCACTGCGCCCTCTCTTCGCTCGGTCTCCGCGAGAGCACCATACATATTCTGCCGCATCTGTGGCGGCCTTCGCCCTCGCGCGGCCTCTGCCCCGGGCTTGAGCAGGTCTCTCTCTTTCCTTCTCCCCGCCCTTACCTGCTCGTCCTCACTCTCCTGCTCTCTCCTTATCCGTTTCGTCAGTTTACTCTCTTTTGTCCCTCCGGCATTTTGAAAATATAATTTTTTCATCCTTTCTCAGATCTTGTTTCTTTCTCTCTCTTCCTCCCTTCATTTCCAGTCAATTCCTATTTGTATCTCTCATTCTCACCCTCTCCCTCCCTCCCTCCCACCGCCCTCGCTCGCTATTCCTCTCTCCTGCTCTTCCCCTTTCCTTTCTTCTTTTCTCTCTCGTTTTAACACGCTTATACTGCCTTAATTCTCTTTCTTCCTAATATCTCCCTACCTTAGCTCTCTCTCTCTCTGTCTCTCTATCTTTTTTTTTTTTTTTTACATTCATTTCTTTTATATACATTTCTCAGTCACGAGCTTCAGTACGACAACCGAAAACTATCTCTCTCTCTCTCGCGCGCGCGCTCTCGCTCTCTCTCTCTCACTCGCATTCATTGTCTCTCCTTTTTTTCCGTTTTTCTTATTCATTGTCCCTCTCCACTTTCTCTGTTTCTCTCAGCAATTCTCTCTCTCTCTCTCTTAATCTGTCTCTCTTTCTCTATCTCTCTTAATTACTTTTACTTCGCGCGCAGCTTAAACAGGGTGATTTACTGTCACAAATGTCCCTTCATTTAACTTATTTGCGTGGCAAAATACAGTATATCCATTAATTTCTCTTCGTGAAGTTATCTGTTTAGAAAGTTTATTGACTGTAATCAAATTCCGTGTTACCTCACTCACCCTTAAGAAATAAACGTGCGATGGAATAAAAGAACGAGCCTGTTCGTAATCATGAAAACAAAACAATTACAAAGCTCCATGAAAGCGGAGCAATCTGAACAAATAAAACACATAGACAGTACCTTAAAACAAGTTGGATTTCCTCATTAAGTCAAAGGATGAGCCACAGGTTGTGTCTATGGAGGCCGGCCTGTGCCGACTCGATTAGAGAGTGCCAGCTGGTGCGGGTCGACTGAGCATCGCCCTCGCCACTGTGGTGCTCAGCCTCAGCAGGAACCGCTGGGCGCGGGCCGCCGAACCCTCGGAAAAGAGGGTGCCACGTTACTACTCCTGGAGGCTCCTACAGGGTCGGTGACCCAACTTTTCATTAAACAAGGTCGTGCAGCAAGTTCGTTTATCTCGAATCTGCGTAGCAAGGATCGTTATTCCTTTGTGTCTTCTGGTCTTCCAGACGTCACAGCTTTTCATTATCATCTGATGGCTTATTTTCATGTGACTTTTAATCAAGAGGTAATAAAAAAAAATCATGTAGATAAAAGAAACGGAAAGACAAGGATTTCAAGCAAAACCATACTGGCTAGCCAACCAGGCTTTGGCGCCAAACATTTGCTTGTGGTTCTCTGTCGGCAGCTGATAGGAATACGCATCTTCAGGTGCCATTTCGATCCTTTGGGCCAAACGTCAGTTCAGCGAAGCAGGTCCTTCTCCCTTTCAGGAACGACCGCAGCATCTCGTCCAGGGCGTCCCGGCTTCAGCGCCTCCTCGTTTCCGTCACGGTCAGGCGCCAGGGATAAGTGGTGTGTGTGTGTGGGGGGGGGGGGGCGGTAAACGAAGTTGTATATTGCCTGATACCGGGGCGAGAGTGGTAAGTATGAACCCTCTAACACTCTTAATCTCTCTCTCTATCTGTGTGTCTGTCTTTGCCTCTTCCTTCTTCTCTTTCTCTGACTCTCTCTTTTCGTCTCTTTTCCTCTCTTTCACTTCCCGTCTTTCTGTGGCCGTATGTTTGTTGATTTTGGTGTCTCTTTGCCTCTCTATCTTTTCTTGTTACTCAGTTCATCTGTCTATTTGTCAGTCTGTTTTATTTTGTGTATGTCTCTCCTAGTCTCTCTGTCCCTCTGTTTGTCGGTCCTATTATATTTCTTTCTGGTTTTCTATATCTCTTTCTGTTTCGCTTTGTTCCTTAGTCTGTCTATATCTGCTTGTTTTGTTTTCCCTCCCTTGCTGTGCCTCTATCAGTGCATCTCATTCTCCCTGCCTCCCTCTCTCTGTTTCTGTCCCCCCACCCGTCTTTCTCTGTGTCTTTCTTTCTTCCTCTGTTCCATTCCTCTTTATGCATGTCTCTGTCTGTCTATTTTTCTGTGTACTATTTTCTCTGCATCACCCTCTCTATCTCTGTTCCCTCTGTCTGTCGGTCTCTCCGCTTGTCTGCGATATACATTTACATGCAGATATACATATATACATATAAATATGAATATACACACATACATACAAAGAACTGTACACATGCCTATGTTCCTTTACATTGATAAAGCATATCATTCCTGGTTCCACGTCCGGCAGTTTTCCCCGAACAGAAGAATGATTTATGTGACTTCGAACATTCTGTCTGTCTGTTTCTCTCACGCTGCCCCTCAATTTGTCTGTCCTTCTGTGTGCTTCGCCTTCTTTCTCGCTCTCCCCGTCTCTCCCTATCGCAAAGGAAGCGGATATCCTCCCACTTCGTCTTGAAGTTTGTCGTTTAGATTTCCCGCCGCCTCGTGACGTCACAGCCATGGCTGCGCGTGCGCCTTGGTTCTCATGGTATAATAACCTTTTGGCTTCACATCCTCTTGACTTCCCGTGGATGTTTGTGTGTGTGTGCCAGCAGCTGTCCGCGTAGTTGTTGGCTTTGTGTGGCAAACGTCCTTTTCAAAGAATGCCACAGGATGTACCCCGAAAAAACGGACGAAAAACATGTCCGTTTTGATCAAGGACGAAAAGGTCGGAAGTCAACCGATGCACCGGGTTTCATTCTCCACATCTGCTGCAGCCATTAAGGGTCGCGCTAGTCTTACTCAGAGCATGTAGAGGATGGCCCCATGAGGAACTACCACGAAGATTAATAGATAAATAAAAGGAATAAGATGGCGTATGAAACTCGTCGCCTTTGGCGCGCTTGGACCGCCCCTTCCGCCGCCTGTTGCCAATCGGAGATTTTGTTTCTGGCGGATGAGGAGCATTTCGGAGCGTGTCGCACTCGTCATCGTAGAGACCGTTTCCATGCCGTTGCATTCTGAATGGGCAATTGTAGACACGCTCATTTAGTAGTTCCTTATTTTTCAGTCTTATAGTTTTATTAACATTATTATAAGCAGATTTTGTCTAACCAGTTCAAATGGATTACTTCAACATTTCAGTCCTCACTGGGGCGTCCAAAACGATGAAACGCACACGAACACACAAACACACACACACTAAATTTACACTTGCTACACTACAACGGAATGGCTCCTGAAGGTGAGTCACAGGCGCTATCTCAGCGCCAGGCCAGTTGCACTCACCCCCCCCCTCTCTAACCCCGTCTCTTCCCTTTTCTTCCAGTTTTGTCAGACTCTTTCTGCAGTTATTATTTATCGCGATTATATAGCCAGAGGGATGTGCTTCTTGGTGGGAAGGTCAATTTCAGAATAAAATAACTTGCCGTTTCAGTCAATTTCATTTTGCATTGAGGAACGACCTGTTCATGGCTTATGGTGTGATCCTCAGACAAAAGCTTAGAATACATAAGCCACCCAGCGATGTCAAGCAGGATTTGGTCGCGGCCGCTGCGTGGATCTGGATCTGGAGGCCTTTTGTTGAACTCCCTGTCTGCCCCAAATGCCCCAGTGGTGTGTGTGGGGGGGGGGGGGGGGGTGTTCTTAACCTCTTTGGAGTCGGATCCCTTAAAGAATCTGATAGAACCTATAGATCCCTCCCTTGAAATGTTCACATAAACAACTTTGCAAGCGATATGCTCCATGTACTTTGTTTATTGTAACTCCATTATTGATTAAACTTAAAAATAAACAGTAGAAAGATACACTCTTTTATGTGCAAAAAGTAATATATACTCTTATCTCAAAGAACAATGTTAATTTTCATTCTCAAGGAACCTCCCGAAACCCAAGGATCCTTGGATCCCAGCGAAGGATCTCGTTGACTTTGCTTTAACTGACCATGTCTCGTGTTCATTATTATTATCATTATCATATATGTATGTATATATATATATATATATATATATATATATATATATATATATATATATATATATATAAGTTAGAAAAAACATAATGCACAAACTAGATTTATTGAGGAAAGTGAGACAACAGTTTCGCAATCGTCCTCGATTCCATCTTCGGGTCTGTGTATACACACACACACACATATGTATGTCTGTATATGCGTTCATATACATATATGCTTGTATGTGTGTCTGGAGCGTCGCAAACATGAAACCAGGATCTATAACAGCAACAAGGGTCTAGCCGCCCTCGGCGCCGACGCGCTCCTAGGGCGCCCGTGGGTGGACGCCCCCATGCCCCGGCCCCAGGCCCTGGCCCCAGGCCCCGGCCCAGCCCCGACCGCGCCCGAGCGAAGCGCAGAAGGCGCGTGACCTCACGGCGGCCTTATCGCGCGGCCGCTGATAAGCGCGGGGAAATCTGGGTTCGAGCCGCGGCCGCCGCTGAGCCCGGCGCTGGCGGCGGCTGCGGGCGGGGACACCTACGATTGTCATCATCATTAAAAATGCAACTGTTATTATTATCTTTGTTATGATG